CACACACACACACACACACACACACACACACACACACAGTTGTGCTGCCATCCCTTCAGTGGACATTGCATATCTTACATTATTTGTAAAAAGACAGTTTTTGAAATGATTTGGCACAGCATAAAGCCTCTGATTGAATGAACCCACGTCATTTAAAGTTCTATCAGCAGACTTTGTTATTGTAGAACTTGTGTTATGTAATGATATTACTGGAAGAACAACAGCATATTACTGTCACTAATAAGAGCATACTGTGGCTGATGCCATGGTCCACTCGCTGCGGTCAGCACTTTCCCCTGTCAGCTTCCACTTTCCCTCCTTTTTTCCCCTCCATGTTTACGCCAATTGGAAAATACAACAATTTTAATTTTAAGTCACTGACATAGATGATGAGTGCATCTTTTGTCAGACTGAACCAGAGACGGTTGTGCTATTTTTTGTAGTTGTATTCTTCATCTGCGTCTTGGAAAGATGATCTTTTACGTAACAGAACATACTGTAGCAATTGTGGTTAAGGACATGGACATTAAATTCAATTGAATTAACAAGTCTCCATTACATTATACTGTAACTCCTATACTTGGATTGAGTACATTTTTAGATATGCCAAACATTATTCTCAAGGTCTTTACTAAACATGAAAATAAATAAGAATGTGAGAATGACAAGAACTTGCTCGGAGGGAGTTTAATGAGCTTTTATTTTTCTGTTATGTTCTTTGTCCCTCACCACTTTTCCATTGTCTTTTACTGTCATTTTTATTGTCTGCTTACTACTTTTAGATATTATTTGCTTATGTACAGACATGAGACTAAAGTTGGCTTCCAATTAATCCATTAATGGAAAATGAAAAGGAAGCTTAGTTACAACACTAATTGGATAGACTCTTTCATTTGTTGCTCTTCTTGTTGTTGCAAAAAGACGTTTGACAGTCTAGTCATTGCCCTAATGCCGTCAGAAATCTGTTTTCAAAAATCTATTTTATTTATAAAAGCAAAAAAAGGTGATTTCACAGCATTTTTTCTGTCCAGACAGCAGTAGGCCAGAAGCCGTCTTAGCTCCCTTCACTCCAGGAGAAGACTGTATTGAACAGTTGTTGTAGTTTAACAGGATCTTTAACAGGATATTTTACTGGGAAAATAGCAAAGAATGCAAAGAAATGTGACTTTCAACAACCACAAATATTTTCCCCTTCCCTTTTTTAAACCAGCACTTTCCACATAGTGTCACCATGGAAACATGTACTGCATTTAAATGGATTTTAATATCCCAGTTATGATGGGGCTTTTAAAAGTATACCGTTTTTATGTTTATACATCTTAACGTCATGGCAAACATGTTAGCATTTAACAGTGTTAAGCCTACTAAAAGCCACAGTTGCCCCATTTTTAGTAGCCACAGCCCGATTAATATAGGGTTAGGCTAACAGTTACAAGTATGTCAGATTAAGTTGTTGATTTGTGTTGTAAGCATCACAGGCGCCTGCACAAGCAGCACACAGTGGTCAGTGACCAAAATACTAGTATTTATCATGTGTACAAGGATATAAATAGCCAGATTTCTCTGTGCTTCATGTAAACACAAAATCTGATTAAAACCAAGATAAGCTTCATAACCAGGATACTGGTGCATGTGATAATGTATGGTAAGTGGTCTGCACTTATATCGCGTTTTTCTACCTTGGTGGTACTCAAGGCACCTTACAATGTTTTCTCATTTACCCATTCACACACACACACACGTTCATACACCAGTGGTGACAGAGCTTGCCACTTTCAGCTGCCAGTGGAACTTCCCAAAGTTGCATTGAGAGCAGCATGGGGTTCAGTGTCTTACCCAAGGACACTTGAACTGTGAAGGGGTGGGAGATTGAACCACCAACCGCTCTACCACCTGAGCCACAGCCGCCCTATGTCAAAACATAATTGGTATATAATGAGTATGGTTGGTATAGGATGCAAATTTTAAACCATTATGCTAACTTATGATTGGCAGCCTTATCAATCAATAATCATTTAATCAGTACCACAAAATGATCTCAATGGAAATCATTCCATAAAACTACTTCAAAGCTGTTTCAATGGCTTATGTCACGTGACGTGCTGTTCTACTGGTGTAGATGACCAGCCACGATGCTATAGTGATGCTGTCACAGCGCACGTCAGCTGACTCACAAGACAAGAGCTCTGGCCAGTAGGCATTAGGTGTCATAGGTGACATGGTGCCACTTTGCCCACAATGCTCTCTGCTTCCCAACACAGACCGCCTCCTCAGATGGCTACAGTGTTAAACAGTGAGCTACTACAGTGAATCTGCAATTTATTTTCTGACATGCATGTCTTTCCTCTTCCACTTTTTTTTTTTTTTATATGTTTAATATGTTAAAATATGCATAGCAGGTAATCAGTTAATAATCATTTACATCCCTCGTCACTAATTTTATTGGCTTATAATATAATTGTAATATATCAGTGTTTGTTTTTGTGAGACTGATTAACTTGCTGGTTTAATTCTATAGACCATCTAAGCTATATTTGTAAAACTGGCTCCAGATTTTAAACCCCTACATTTATAATTATCCAACCTGGATGTGATTATATTTCTTTTTTCCTTTTATTCAGACCACATTGGACTAGGTCTAGAACAAAACCCTCTACACTTAAGATAGTTTTTTTTTTCTTTCATAGTCAAAAAGCTGTGTGACAAATTTAAAACTTTTCCTCCAGTGTTGTTAACAAGCTTCCCTTAACCTTCCCTTTCACTGCTTAACCAGAAACTTATTTCAGAGTCTCAGGTGTTAAACATTACTTTCAGTCATTTATTTGTTTATATTCTATTTGATAGATTTTGTTACAATATCTGACATTGTTTTGTACAAAAATGCTCTTACATTGCACATCAATATTTCCATTTAAAAGCTCTTGGCTAAATGTCTGTTTTCTACCTAGTAATACACACTCGTCCTATTTCTCTTTTCAGGGAAAGAGCCACCGTCAGTTGAACAGTCCCTACTCTCCATGCCTGCCACACCTGTGCCAACCTTCTCCAAGGAGGCGACCTCCTCATCCTCTAAGCACGGAGGTGACCACGGCCACCACCACCACCACCACCACCACGAACACAAGAAGAAGAAGAAGAAGCACAAGCATAAGCACAAGCACAAGCATAAACATGAGAGCAAGGACAAGGAGAAGGACAGAGACAGGGACAACTCGCACGCCTACAGCAACAGCCCGGCCAGTGGCAGGTCTCTGCGCTCACCCTCTCTGTCCGACTAAACATCTGGAGAGAGGTTCGGCTTCCTGCTGCAGTCGGCTCCAGCAGGGTTAACTGCATACATTTGTCTTACAGTAGCAGGCTTTCATTCCTGTTCAGAAACGCATTGGTGTCCATGTTTAAATAAACTAAATATTGATTACTAATTAGTGTAATCAAACAGGAAGACACATTTGGACAAAATGGCAGTTTAAGCATAATCTTCAGATAATTAAACATTCAATTCTGTTTCATCATAAGCAGAAGTGCATGTTTGCTTGAAAGGGGATAAAATGAACTGAACTGAGGCTCCAGTGTCATTAGGGTAAACCCTCCAGAGGCATCTGTGCCATCTCTCTCTCTCTCTCACACACACACACACTCACGTTTGTAGACTTTCAACACCGCTTCCAGGCTGTGTGAGGCATGCAACCACATGCACCTCTCTCCACAAACAGTCAAATACAGTCTTAACCAACCTCATGCACTTTTCCCCCGAACAGAGACACCACTTTGGTGTGCCTCATCCCCACAGCTCAATTCCAACATTCAGCGAGCTGTTTCTGAGGGGAAACATGATGGATCATGGTGTGTATTTTGTGTGGACCAAGCCTCTGGTGTCTTTAACATCCTGCAAATCACATTTCCCAGTTTGCTCTCAAATTAAAATTAAACAGAAATTTCACTGTATTTTTGAATGAAACTTGAGTAATACTAGTGTTTTTTGTAGTATTTTTGCTTCCTAACTATTGTCATGATTAAAGATGCTTTTGTATCCGCAAATGTTTGAACAAGACTGAATCCAGCTCCACAATCTCATTTGTGGCTGTGTTTTCTCTGGCAGTGTTTCTTAGGTTTGATTAGGTGGTTTTAAACAATGAAAGGAACATGTAGAACTCAGTACTCACCAGTTAAATAACCAGAACAGCATCAAAACTGTGATTTCAAGGGTCAAGAATGTTTTTTTTGTTTTTTTTTTAATGTAATTTGTCTTCTTGTATTGTCTAAATAAGACATTAAAAAACAAAGTGTTGACATTCATGTAATGATTCTTGTTAGTTAATGTTAGCATTTATTCCTCTGCAATACTTATGATGTATTTTGAGAACCCTTGTCTCCATTGTGTAGGGAGGTTGTGAATCCCAGTGGTGGGATTACAAACTGCTTACTAAGTGGTAAAAACAACACTTCTACCAGTCCATGTCTCTTATTGAACACTATCATCTATGAGTCGATGTCCCTATAGTAGATCTTCCAGTTCTGACAGAAATATAGAGGATATTGGTTGAATTCACAGGGATGTTGCTTAACATAGGAACCTGGGTATACTGTTTCCTATGTTTCAATATTCGTTGTTTCTGAAACGAGGAAACACACTATGTCCTTTCTTGTATACATGGACTGAAGCCAACATGTAGTATTGCTTCTCTTAACGTTAATTGACATACTGCACATGCGCACTAACACTTGACCTGGACAGGAACTTGGGAAAGGTATGTTGCGACTCAGTAAAGACTGGAAGAGGGAAAACTTTGGAAATTAGGTAATTAAATTGATAGTTGTTGTTCGGGAGAAGAACACTTTCCCAAACCAAGAAGTTAGAAGAGTCTCTGAGGATTTTATAAGTATGGTAATGTTAAGCATTTGTTTATTTTTTGTTGTTTTTTTAAACACATTAACGGTAGAAAGTAATGGTGAGCTAGCACATGAAGGCCACAAATTGGCACCAGAGATAGCAATGACAGAAAAAAAAACCCTACCTATAAAGTGTCTAGAAGCACAAGTTTTGTTAGAATTAGGTAACGAGAGTGACTGTTGCCTATGTTAGGCTACTAAAAAGAAATTTAAAAAATACTTACCAAAAGAGACAAGCAGCTTCTATGCTCGCTCGATTTTGTTATTGCTTTGGCTATTGTGTAAATTAATGTACACGTATTAACTCGTTCCACAATATTCACTTATTTATAGTTTATTACTTTACTTTCCTGTGTGTTGTTACTACTTTTGACATTGTTTATATGTTTGCTTGTAGCATACAGAGCTGCAACCACCGCTAGCGAAGTACAGCTAGCATACATATACGTAGTCTGTGGAAGTAATGTAATTCTGTATTTTACAAAGGTATTCATATGCAGGTTATATCATTTTATTTACGGTATTTATTCCCATCATATAGTCCATGAGTCAATCCAGTATTGCTATCACTGTGAATGTGACAGTCCCAGTGTTCTGCATAATAACTGTGGCTCGTCTGTAGAGGTAAAGTTCTGCTGCGTTTCCCTTTACACATCATATTATTTAAATACCGGTTAAGACAAAGGTCCTCCTCCAGACCAGCACCAATAGGAATCCGGTCCGTTCCTTTCAGTCGCCTCCCCCTCTGTCCCTTCTCTCCGGTGGTCCTTCGTTGTCGGAGTCAGCATCACTCACTCTCCGACCTACAGCACAGGACTACAGTGAGGCCAAGAGAGGAACATGTTGCTACAGAAACTGGTACGGTAAGAGTCCGTGTCTACAACTTTTAGCTGCATGTCACTTCAAAGAATACACATTGCGATGCGTAAACCGTGCGCAATTGCGCATTTGGCTGTGTGGTTTTGTGTTTCGTGATATGCCTTATTGCCTGACAGAACATTGTCTTGATGTTTTCAGAAGTTTCCCCGCTCTTTCCACTTCCTGCTGCTAAACATTTGCAGAACAATTGTGGATTTGTCTGTTACTTCCAAATGGCGATTCATCAAACTATCAAAGGCGATTGTTATGCGGATGCGGGTGGTCTCTTTTCGCTTTGAAGTCTTGTAATGCAACCGGCATGAGCTACGTTTGATCAGTTCCAATAAGAATGGCAATCACGGCATTGCTTAGTATTGATGGCAATGCTAATGTATCACAAACGTTTTCAAATGTGAATTTGAGAATTAGTTTTGGATCAGCCAGTGCACACCAGAAGACTTGGCTTCCTTGGGGCTGTTTAGTTTCTGTGATATGGTAGACCTCAACTGAATGAAAGCATTTTGCAGTAATCACACCAAAGTTGAGGAAAATACTAAAGATTTGTAACATTATGCATATTGTGCGTAGAAGTAATGAAAAGGGTCTTGAAGTGTACTGTGTAATTACTGGCTGTGATTCCTCTGCCTACTGTGTTTGCTCTCTTATGAAAAGACACCATGACCTTTGATTAGCCCATGCAACATTTATACTGAATGAATGCCTCTTCAAATGTCTGGTGTGATGTTGTTTTTTCAGTTTGTGTGGATCCTGTCAGTTCTGTGTGGCTCTGACATGTGTTTGGGATTTGTCTATGACCGACCCAAACGCTCCGGAGAGGATGGGACTTCAGCCAGGACAGACTGTGAGTATGCGACTCCTAGGAAACATAGAAACATCTTTGAACTGCTTGACCCAGAGATGGCAAGCATTTGCACAGCTGAGGTCCGTGGAAAGGACACCAAAGTTCTCCCAGCATCAAGCTGGCTACTCTGTAAATGACATTGACCTTAGATGTCCTCATGAACCTAAGGCTGGAGGAGAATTTCCCTTAGCCTCGTGCAATGTTAACAAAAGCATTTTCATAATTTTAAGCACATTTCATTGAAATGTGAGATATGCATATGGCTATGGGATTCACTTCCACAGGTTGTAATAGTTTGATTCCTTAAAGGGTGTTCCTGTTCACTAGAGGGGTGTAAGAAAAGCCCTTCTTTC